TGACAATGAAGATATAATTTCAAAATAGCCACCACAAAGTCTTGATCTCATTCCCAAAGGTGAACCTAAACTAGGCTTATCTCAGTTACACCAGGCTGTTAGGAAGGGACCAAACTAGTCGGAATCTGTGGCAGCCAAAATATTTGACCCAAGTGAAGCCACTGAAAAGCAATGCCACCACAAATTTATAAAACTTATGTAACCTTGGACATTGATAAACATAATTATATAATTCTCGAAAAGGTTAATTGGCAATATTCTCATAGTTCAGTATGAACGGCATGTTTTTAGATACTGTGTAGTGTATTAGCTAAAATTAGTGCTGCAATGTTTTTGTACATGCATGTTCATCGGCATAAATATCAAACACTTCCGAGTTTCTTATTTTAAAATATAGTGATGTAGGATATAGGGATGTAGTTTGCTCTAAAATCAAAGTGCTCCAGAAAACCATAGAGTTAGAGGACTCAGACTAATGTCAAAAAGTTCCTTAAACAAATTCAAAACAGTTATAAGAATAAAGGGAATATAAGAAAAAAAGGACATATTAAAACTACCAGCAAAGTATTACGTTGAGTTGGAGGCTTGGGAGTAAAAGTGAGGTTTTGGGGTCAATTTTGAAAACAAAGAGTATAACTGAGAGTGATTAAACCAATCAGGTGTACATTTGTAATTTTTTTCGATCTTAGATGAAGTCCTTTAACCAACTAAAAGCCCCTGGTAGGCCGGCTATCGAAAACTAAAAGGTCCTGGATGCAATAGTCATGAGAAATCAATCAGGACAGCACAACTGAAATACTTAAAATCAAATTAAAGCATTTGACAATTAATTTCAATGCTATATTTCATTGCAACCCATTCATTGTACCTGTTAAAAATCAAGCTGCTGCATTTTGCAGATCCAAAAGGGAAACGAGGGAAGCCTGACTGGTCCAAAATAGAATTTAATTTTACATCAATGAAGTCTAGAAGTGATACAATGTAAAACATGGATCACAGTTGCTCTGGGTTTTTTAGGATAGGGTTACTTATAGTTTTAAACTTTTATCTAGCATATTAACTACTTGTTATTGGTCTTGTGTGACTGAATACAGATATCAGGTTTTTATTTATTTTGATTTAAGTTTTTGTGTTCTTTGATCTTAGCCTGCATTTTGTAATAAATTTTGTATTTCTTTGAATATTTCATTGAAATTATATTTAGTTGCATTTAATACATGTTTTTTTGGTGGGTGTGTCCAATAATTTTTTATTTTTTTTGATCTAGTTATATATTACTACATATCTTTATAATTTAAAGTCTACGTCAACTTTTTTACATCCAGTTTTGTTATTAATTCCTATTTAACAAATCCTAGTTGTTTTTGTCTTATGCCAATAAAGGTTTGTTGTGTCCCCTGACATGAGTACATTTGTTTCCCCATTTGCATCACCAGGTTCAGTGTAATGCCCCATTACCAGATTCAGTTCATGTAGTGCAGCAGTGAGTTTAAGCTTTGGAAAGATTTTCATAGGTTTTCCATAAATATCACATGATTTCTCATAAAATGGAAGAAAAAATATGGTACGATAAATACCTTCCTTATGAAGCAAAGATCCAACATGTCAAAGCAAATTAAAATCATATTGCTCTCAGAAAGAATATATTTTTAAGTGATGTTTAATGGTAATTTGTTTTACAATGAACAAAATGCACCAGGAAAACCATAATAGCTGCTGTTGCACCATTGAATAATAATTTTTTGGAAACCCAAAAGAAGAAATCTATTGATCTTTGCAATTATCTCTCTTATGGGTAAACTGCTGAAGAAAAATAAATCTTGTGATGTATGGTTGTTGATTTTCTGTGTTTTAATTCTACTGTTCATTCATTTTGTCCTATTGAACTTTTACTACTATATTTTTAGAAGTAAGAATTTACTAATTAGAAGCAGCAATGCAAAGAAATATATTTCAAAAGAAAGCTATTGTGACTTTGTTTTGTTTTTTTGCATTGGTTCAACTTGTGCATCTTTTAATATCTGCATCACCTGTCACCCCGACATTTACAAAAGTATTCTGTAGTATTTTAATGGCTTTAAAGTTTTAGATTTACCACACATTTGTAACTGCTGGAATTAATGTTGCTGCTCATGTGTCTTTTTTCATCCTTTATAAGTCCCCATCCTTTCCGCCCACATAGGAAAAAGGTGTTCTGCCTTTCCAAGAGCTGCCCACCTGGATTTAAATTTAATGGCTATCAATCACTTTATTCTGTTGCCTGATTGCAAATTTTCATTGAACAAGTTGCCTCACTGGCCTAGTATTTAGTAGTGCAAGGACCATTTGCTAGAGGAGGTGGTTTTCTTAACATAAACCGATTATCCGGTGTAATTTGCATCTTGTTTAAATGCATCTACAAAAATTAGATTGTGCCTTTTCTCAAGGTCTAGATAACAATTCAAAACAACTTATTAAAGTAAACAGATCAAAAAGAAAAATTTATTTCTAATTAAATACTGTACTTCTATCTTCCATACTGAATGCTCTTTGATATTTTAGACTTAATTTGACTCAAAGCAGGCAGGATGTTGTGCCTCCAACTCTTCCTTTAATCTCTGGAACCTTGCTTTACAGTACAAGCTGTTCTTTAATATAAAAATATAACATTGGACCAGTGAGCAGTAGTGACATGAAGAATGCAACATTAGTATCTTATGTTTAAGATTAATCTGTGCATAGTGGTTCCAAATTTATTGACTAAAATCTAATCTGACTCCTTTTAAAGCTTCCCCTTTTTTTATATGTTGCTCATCAACCATTTAAAGGCTGCAGTTATCCCTGTTGCTTAAGAGACTTTTATCACACATTTTTCTTTCAATCAACAGGCCTTAGAGCAACATATAGTGAACAATGCACCTCTATTGCAATTAATTTTTTGTGGTTTACCCTCATTGTGTATGGGGTTAGTCAATCTCCTTAGGACCTTTTTTTTAAATAACCAGTAATCCAAAAGTTGATATAGCTTGCAAACTATTCCTGACTGAAGGATCATTTAAAGCATTGGTCTTAAACTCACTTGCAACTTCTGGATGTGTGCATCATCCCAGTAGACTCCAATGTGAGCTTTTCAGGACAGCTTGACTGCTGTTTTAAGTTAATCAAACTTTTTAGGTGTGCAAGTTAAGGGTGACATCTAAAAGTAGCAGGATACAGGACCTTGATGATTGGAGTTTGAGACTTAGGAAATCTTTAGAGTTTTTCTTGGTTATGCCACACCCTAATTGTTAAATAACCAAGTCACCTTTTTCAGAATTGTTCCTTATTTCTTAAACAGTGAATTTCAGGTTTTGAATATCTTTTAGCCACAGTGATCATTAAATAAAGCCTTAAGTTATTTCCCTCTGTGTGTAAAGGATCTAAAAGGATCAGAAGTCAGTTAAAATAACATGCCATAGGAGTTAAAGCTACAGTGTGTAACTTTTAGCGACATCTAGCGGTCAGACTGCAGACTGCAGCAACATGAACATCTCCCCCCACCGACGGTGAGCGTTACGGGACAAAATGTCTTCCACGACGTCCGCATCACCTACCTTCTCAAGTGATGAGGTTTGTTTACATAGATAATTTTACAGATAGTATTTCATTAGTCTGTGTAGGGTATAGATTTCATGTAGACTTAAGATAATAAATATACCCGTTATTTTTTTCTACATCGTTGTGACATTTTGGTGATCTCGCAATCACTAGTTTGTTGGCTCTGCGCTGCCGTAGCGCAAAGATGTATGCCTCCATGGTTGCGAGACCCGCTCCTATGTAATTATAAATAACGAATTCTAAGGCAACGCAAATATTAAGGTTAAGAGGCTGAGCTCGTAGATGATGATAAAATAACATAATTATGTATAATATATTACATTTCTGACTGTATATCCTTGTAATTATTACACACTGTAGCTTTAACATAATACAGAGGTGGTCTTCCACATCACCATTCTAAATCTTATAATTTATAAGTTTCACTTTATGAAATAAGGGGAAATATACTGAAACATTTTTTTTCAAAAGCTATCTGTATGGACAAAGACCCAGACTCAGTCTCTGTAAAGTTTATTTTCAAAAACAAAGTAACATAATGATTCTTCTTTTGTTCTGCTTATCCAATCAAACCTTTTTATTTTATACTTCAGAAACCAGATTTATCAATGCAGACATGGTAAAACACAAAGTGGTGTCTGTACTAAATAAACCATGGCTCTTCAGTTAGTCCTGACCCAAACATCTGCAGCAAAATGCATTTTCTAAACGTCAATAAGAAATTGCATCATAGCAGAATTTTGTCATTTGGCCTGATTTAAGAGAAACTTAAATGACATACAACACTCCTAACACAGCAAAGACAAATTCTACCCCAATCAAAGATAAAAACAGATTGTTGGTCTGCTTTATTGTAGTATATTAATGATATATTATAGTAAGAGTACGTTGGGACACTCATCACACACCGTCTTTTGGGTCATCTGGTAGCGCCTTGGTCTGAGCTGCATCGTCCTTCATCTCCTGTCTGCAGCTGCACTTCCTTTTACCAGGAGGCTCTTTGGCTACAGGTTTGTTCTGCACAACCTCTACTACTGTAAGTTCCCAGAGTACACCTCTTCCAGCGTAACCGCAAGGTCCACAACTATGTCATTCCCTCTAGGGAAATTCCTGTTCTCCTTTCCTCCAAATATGAAGCCAAAGTAGTATATTGTTGATATACAAAAGTATAGAACTGAATAATTAATTACTGTATTTTTGTTCTGAGTTTTTGGTTAGAAAGTGTTTGTCCAGAACCTCTCGTGACTCTTTTGCATACTGATTTGTGAAAACTCAATCAACCGTTTATAGGTCTGTGTTTGTCAGTTGTCAAGTATTTTCTCATGCGTGGAAAGGAACAACAAAGGTTTGACCAACATCACTTTGTCACAACAAAGTATAAATGGAGGTATTTCTTACTGCAACACACATTAGATGAGGAGGGCTGCCAGAATGCAATACCTTCATTTTGCTTTGGTGTTTCTGTTTGAAAATGGCCTGCATGTTTCATCTCAATGCACGGCTCAAGTCTCAGATTTTTACATGCCTGGGGATTTCTTGATAGGTGGACTTTTTGATATTCATTATGCCCAGGCAGACAATCACCATGTCCGACCCGAAGCACTTGATTGCTCAAGGTGAGTTAAATTTTTGCAGTGGATTATTCATTGGAAAGATGTAGAGAGAATAATGCAAATAAATACTAATTTGGAACTCAAACTTGAACTTAAATAATTTGTCTGGATCACAGTTGTAATCTTCTTTCTGTACGTTGCAAAGATTTGGGAATGGAATAAGAGCGGTGTCCTTCGGCTAAGAACAAAGTGTAATATTTTGATAAGGCTGGAGCCATGGATGACTCCTCCTCTGCAAACCTGTATGATGTCATGATATGAGGATGTGGCACACTAGAGATGTATAAAATGCTTTTCTAACTGTTTATCGGGGCCGACTTCACGAGATAAAAAAGAAATCACTGTGAGCAAATTCTCTGTCTTCAGGTGTATAAAACTCTGCTCACTTCAGAACCAACAACACAGCAAAAAATGCTTCAGGGTCCCCTTCCCAACCCGGCAAACCCCAGGTCCAACACGCTCACCTTAAAGATTTCCCCCTTAAGCAAACAACAAAAACATTCAGAATTTAGAAATTAATGTATCCATGTGTTCATGCAGTATAATGTCTAAATTTAACCTTTGTGTTTGTTTTCTATTGAAATAAAACAAATAAAAACCAGAAACCTCAAGTTATGTCTGCTAATCTAAACACCTACCAGTATACTTTGTACTAAATAAAGAAATAGAGGAAAAAAATATATGAATGATCAAGAAAATAACCCTTTTTTAATTAGGTCCTTTACGTTCAACCCCATAACCTGTCATTTGTCAATTATCATTTTTAGTGGACCTGTTGCCGTTCAGTTTAGAATACTTTTGTACGAAATGTTCTTAAAGACCCCTTTGGTAGTTTATTAGCCTATATGTTCTCACTACAATTTGACATCAGTTTATGGCTGCAGTACCTCGTCTTGGACAGAGTAAAAATAACTCACACTTGTGATATTTTTTCATTCATCTGGGTTATCTTTGTTCTTACTAAATAGTATTTGAGTATTATTTGGTCCAGGAGCCCTTTAATACTTGAATTATTAATGTCATTTCACTGCATATGGCTGCAATATGCTCATCCACACTCCCCAGTGGATGCTGGAAATCCAAATGATTGGAACTAATCTCTGTACAGGCTTTGTACTTTGTGGGCCTGGATTATTGACAACTGTTAAAGTGATTTAACAGTGACAGATCAGGACAATACATGTTATATCAGACAAAGATAACTTGAGTAAGCACAAATTGTTTACCACCCAAATCTTACCTCTGGCTTTATTACTCTTGGCAATCTATATACAATAGATCTGACTCCTTGTTTCTTTTTCCTCAGCCAACGTTTTAGTATCTCAAACTATCGGAGGTTTCAGTTGATGAGATTTGCTGTAGAGGAAATCAACAACTCAACTAGCCTGCTTCCAAATGTAACTCTGGGTTACGAGATGTTTGATCACTGCTCAGATACGCGTAGTTTCCCAGGGATTTTAAAACTCCTCTCAGTCAATGGTCAGATCCAGCCTTGGGCTGAACCATACAGAACACTCTCAAAAGTCATAGCCGTGGTCGGACCTTTCACAAGCACTCAGGCCTTGACTGTAGCTCCATTTTTCATGGTGGATCTCATTCCTATGGTACGTATTTATTGAATCGTTTCACTCTATACCAAATAAGCATTTTAAATAGCATTTCTGATGAAGAAATAGCAATGAGGCATCATAAAAAGGTTACGGTTTTATTCTTTTTTTATCTTTAACTAATAAGGATGAATTTTTTCTGCTGCTCTTCTTTGACAGGTTAATTATGGATCCTCATCCTCTGTTTTTTCAAAAAAAGCTAAATTCCCATCATTCCTACGAACAGTCCATCCCAACAGTGATGTTATTGAGGTGATTGTTACCATTTTGAAGCACTTCAAATGGCACTGGGTTGCTTTCCTTTACAATGCTGATGATTTTGGTTATGATGGCCTAAACATATTTAGAAATCAGATTACGGACACAGACATCTGCATTGCATACACAAGAGCGCTCATGACTGGCGAGAATTTTTCTAGAGTTTTTCAACAAATTGAAATGCAGCGCATTCATGTTATCATTGTTTTTACTGCGGAAATGGCTGCTGAAGCTCTGATTAAATCAGCTATAAAATCCAACATCACAAACAAGGTTTGGATTGCAAATGATGCATGGTCTTTGAACAAACGGCTGCTTAAAATGAAAGACATCAGAAATATTGGAACCATACTTGGTGTGGCTCAGCCCCTATTAACTATTCCTGGTTTTGTTGATTTCATCCATTCTATTGAGAGACAAAGTGAGTGTGGCCACAATGGACAGCAGATGCTTTGCAATCAGGTTTGCAACTGTAGTGACTGGAGGGCAAAGGATGTTCTCGAGGCCGACCCGTCCTTCTCCTTCCCTGTTTATTCAGCTGTATATGCAATCGCTCATGCTTTGCACCACAGCTTACAGTGTGGAGAAAGTGGATGCAATAACATTACAGTATATCCAAATATGGTAAGTGTATCATTTAGTTATTTATGTTCTGTTGCAACCTTAAACTGTCATTTATAATGGTTTATCTAGTAAAGTGAACAATAAGCAAGTTTATTATTTTTATTACTAGTTGTTCAAACATGTATGGTATTGACATAGACATCAAAGGGCTTTACCAGGGCTTTTTGCAGGTGGAAACATATTTTACATGTAGCTATTGTAAGAAAGCTATAAAAAAAAAAAAGATAAAACTTTGTGAAAAGATCACCCACTAGGAAATTTCAGTTTATCCAGAAACTAAAAGTTTAGACAGTTTTTCGGTGCTTTTATATTGTACCTGGGAGATTATGTATTTAGGGGACCAGGGAATGGGCTTGGAGCCATTTTGAGTTATATCACTGCTAACAGTTACAGGTCCATATTCATTTCATATGAGAAACATCTAAATAGCTTTAAATGAAATTAAGGAACAATAATACCTTTGGTCAACCATTGCACTGCTTAGATACACTCTCATAACAGCAAGCAAGACATGTTTCACTGACTCTGTAAGTATTATTTGATTGATGGTTTGATAATAATTTATACACAGCCTATTTAGAAAATATGTAATGCAAAAGCAAGTTCTGAACTTGCTGCACTTTCAGGATTGATTATTTCTCAGGCTAAACGTCTCTGGGCTCAAACATGACAACAATCCCAGAGCTAAATCTCCAAGCTGCTGGGAGAGTGTTGTAAAGGCCAAGTCCAAGCTCAAGATTTCATGAGAGCTGAGCAAATTAAGCCTTTCAATACTCTGAAAGGTAGTGGAGAAAAAAAAAATGTATTCTGACAAACCTTTATCTAAACTTTGTTTATCCAATTCAGGTTCTAGCAGAGCTACAGAAGTCCAATTTTACACTGCTAAACCGGACTATTCAGTTTGATAAAAATGGCGATCTCAAGTTTGGACTTTACTTTGTCGTGTTCTGGAACCATGTTGGTGATGCACAACAGATTGGGTTTTATAAATTTTACCCAAAAGTCCACTACTACATCGACAGTGAGGAAATCATCTGGTACACAAATGGAGAAGTAAGGAGTCTCTGATGTGGATGGATGGATGGATGGATGGATGGATGGATGGATGGATGGATGGATGGATGGATGGATGGATGGATGGATGGATGGATGGATGGATGGATGGATGGATGGATGATGGATGATGATGGATGGATGGATGGATGGATGGATGGATGGATGGATGGATGGATGGATGGATGGATGGATGGATGGATGGATGGATGGATGGATGGATGATGGATGGATGGATTTTAAATGACAGTTTGCTTTCCAATAATTATGATAAGAAGTAATGGAATATTCTTTAAAAGCTTTATAAATTGGCTGAATGGACTAAACATTGCCCTAATTACTGAAGTCGTAAGGTTCAGCTTTAAAATAAAAATATGGGTCTAAGGCTAAGTGTAGGATGAAAACATTAACCATCATCTGAAATCTAAAGTGCTTATAAACCAATCAGCAAAAAAGCAAAAAATGCGGGATTTAAATAATATGGGTAAATCTTGATTATTTCATGTGTCTTCTTGTTGTTTGTGATCACCTTTGTCCGTTTATTGATTTTTTAACAGGTCCCGACTTCTGTTTGTTCCCAAGAATGCCATGAGGGATATGTAAGAAAGCAAACTTACCCTCAAAAATGTTGCTTTACGTGTGAAATCTGTCCAAATGAAACATACATCAATGTTACAGGTAGTTACAAAGATAGCCTATCAGATTATGGAATCTGATTCATTATTTAATTTTTCATCCTTGCCTTGTTTTTTCATGAAAATATATAACTTATAGCATCATAACAAAACCACCTTCATCAACAACAAATAGTCTGAGTTAAAACATCTAAACTGTGTTCTCTCTGTCTGAATTATTTAATAAAAGAAGAATTTATACAACTTGTGTGTCCATTTTTAGATGATCCCTACAACTGCATTAGCTGTAAGGCGACGGAGTGGTCTAAAGAAGGAAGTACATCATGCAACCCACGGCTGGTGGAGTACGTATCACACACAGAGATGTCGTCTGTGTTGATCATGGCTGGAGCCGGCATCTTAGTGGGCCTCACTGGAGCCATTTCCGTTCTCTTTGCCTTAAACTATAACACACCTGTTGTCAGATCTGCTGGAGGACCGATGTGCTTCCTGATTTTAGGTTGCCTCATTTTGTGTTCTGTTAGTGTGTTCTTTTACTTTGGCAAGCCCACAAATATTTCATGCATTCTCAGGTACTTTCCTTTTCTGTTGTTTTACACAGTCTGTCTTGCATGTTTTGTTGTTCGCTCTTTTCAGATTATTTTCATTTTCAAAATAGCCACAAAGTTTCCCAAACTCCAAATCTGGTGGAAAAAATATCATGGCCAGTGGTTAGTCATTGCTGGAGCTTTTACAGTTCAGACCCTCCTACTTGCTATTAGCTTTGCATATGATCCACCCATATTGTACAATGAAACATCATGGTACCAAGACCAAATTGTGCTTTTCTGCACTTTGAATCTTGAAGCAACCTCTGGCACTTTTGTTTTAGTTGTAGTTTTGAGCTGCCTTTGCTTTATTTTCTCCTACATGGGAAAAGACCTTCCCAAGAATTACAATGAAGCCAAATCCATAACCTTTTGCCTGCTACTGTTTACCGTCACCTGGATCTTGTTTATTACCATCTACATACTTTACCATGGGAAGTTTATCCAAACTTTGAATGCCCTTGCAGTGCTCTGTAGTCTCTATTTCTTTTTGCTGTGGTATTTTCTACCAAAATGTTACATCATTATTTTTCAGTCTCACAAAAACACACAACAATACTTCCAGGGTCAGATTCAAAACTATACTAAAACAATAAGTCAGTAGGTTTTCCCAAAAATATTCTAGTACTGGTTAAATATTTGTATAATTTAGCCACCCTTTATTTATTTGTTTTATTTATTTGCTTATTTTTCTGATGGGTGGTATCCTATTTCATGAATATTGTTTGAATGAATTTAGCTGTGGTGCAATTTTTGGAGACCCCTGTTTGTAATACTTTGTACTTTCCCATTTTTCCTTATGTGACAGAAGCAGACAAATTATTTATATTTTAAAAATCTCTTTAGATCGTCCACAATCTAGGTCTCTTGCTTATGGTGCATTCTCTTCTGATTCTACCAAAACTTATAGCTCCTGCGACTGTGATGATGATGGAGACATGTTGTTTAATTTCTGGTAAACAATCCTGATTTTCCCCACATATTTTGTCTTTTTTAGTTATAAGGCCCTAGTCTCTTGAAGCTTGCAGTGTGTCATTTATTTTGGAACAAGAAATCCAATGTGTCTAACTAGTTAAGCACAAATGTCAAATAAAAAAAACCTTTCTCAAAGGAAACAAGTCATGTTACTAAAATTTTTTCACTCAACTTAATTTTAAACTTGTATAAACCTAACAAAAATCCATCCATTATCTGCTTATCTGTCAGGGTCACAGTGGGGCTTGTTTCCCTTTCTCCAGTATGGGCAAAAAGAGGGTACACCATGGACAGGTCATCAGTCTGTCATAGGGCAATACAGAGACACAAAATCCTTTAGAGACTCCAATTATTTTAACAATAGTTTCTGGACTTCGGGAAGAAGCTGGAGTACCCATAGAGAACCCAAACATACTGAAGACTTTCTGAAGGTTTATTCCCCAATGATTAAATAATTCAATTTAACATTTTCTGTCCCTTTGGAAATATGTTAATAGATCAGAAATATCTGCATGATTCTTTCTGCTAAAAATATACATATATTTTCTCTTTTATTTTTAAGTTCTACCAACACAAGTTAAAGACCAAACGAGAACAGTACACAAGTAACTTTCAACTACATACATCTATAGCTAAAGTCTTGCAGTTTTCAGATTCATCCCTGCTCCAACACCCCAGAATCAAATGAATGGTACAGCATAAACCTGATGTTTGTAAAAATGTCGATAAATACAGCATGCCATTCAGTTTAGCCAAACTGGATGGCATGGGGAAAAAATAGTTATTTCAATCATTTGATTTAGCTCAATTGAAGCAGGGATGTTTCTAAAGCTGTAGGGCAGCAGCTCTTGGGAGCTGGGGTTTCAGGCCATCATATTGTGTGATAAACAAATTAATTTTTAAGGTTGTTCTATACTTGAGTTGAAACATGAAAGGCTTGTTTCTAATCGTGCAAGCCCAGATGCTTTAAAATTTTTCTTGATTATTTTAGGTGCAATTGTTATAAAATATATATATATATTATGACCACATGAGGCCGCTGTTCTAACAGAAGCAGCCGACCACATGACAGTCCTGGAGTATAGGAAGCACATTTATTAGAATAAGTTCACAGGTTTATAATAGGTTTCTGTAACTGCAATCTATATTTTGCAAAAGTATAAATCCTTTGTGTTTTGGGTGCCAGGTTTAGCTGCACTGTTTTTTTGTTTTTTGTTTTTTTTTAAGATAATGCATTGCTAAGGGTTTTTGTTTGTTCCTTTTTTCTCTGTTTGAAAGTCAGTTTCACGCAGTGATGCTCGGCTGGACTGCAGAGGGGGTGTCCTGCCAAGTGAAACGGAAGGAGGCATGCAGCAGGGGGTAGATAGGGGGCCGCAATTCTGCTGGGTAAATTGTCGTTTTGTTGTGGCTTTTCAGCTTCCAGGCAAGTTAAAAAAAATGGGAGGACGGACCGTGAAACTAGGAACGAATTGGTGAAAGGTGCCACTTAGCATGGCATATGGCACTTTCTAGGGAGCGAGACGCTGACACCTACAAATTGACAATTTCATACCAATTTCAGAGTTACTTTAGCCACACACGATGGCAGCCAACAGGTTTAATCTTAGCAGCATCTGAGATTGGTGGTGTTGCCTATTGGTCAATGCTAAAACGGAGAGATAATTATTGATATTGATATTTGGTGATAATATTTTATCCTATGTTTTGCATTATAAAAGGCTGTCCTCGTTGTAACGCATTATTTAGTACATAAAGCATGTGCGTTGAATCGTTTTTCTAATGAAGCTGTAAAGATAGATCGGTTTTCCATAGGCTGTCACCTTTTTTCCAGGCTATATTTAGGTCTGAAGTCAATTCAATTTAATTAATCTCATTTATATATTGCTAATACACAACACATGGCATCTCAAGGCACTTTGCAGTTCACCAGATGATCCAGTCAAACTGATTCAAAGTTTTCTATCTAAGGAAAACCAGTTGATTGCATCAACTCAGTAATACTCTAACCTCTAATACTTTTGTATAATGGAACGCTTCATTTGTTAAATTTGTTTTCCCTACCATCTAATCTAAGCTTGAAGTAAATAATTTTAAGACATATTTCTGGACTTTTATTAACATTGATAGGTAGATATTTTCATTAATACTGTTCAATTTGATTTGTGTGTGTGGGGGGGGGGGGGGGGGGGGTTATTATGGTTTTTCGCTTGGTGGGATAAAGGGAAATACACACCTGCAAGGTACCCATCATTTCAGGCCAAATAACTCAAAGGCGCAATTATATGTTTGCGTTTGGTGGCCGTAAGCTGTTTTGGTGATGTTACAACTGAAACTGGGCCATTTTGTGTGAACTCAGTTCAATTTTTTTTTTGGTTAGAATAGTATGTTGTGATATTTTTTAAAGAGCAGTGAGTTTACAAATCAATTCATTTATTGACAAAAATAAGTGAATAATAATTAGAATTCACACCTTACTATTTACACGAATTAAATGGAGTATCTTGTTGTTTTAATAGAATAGACATGATAATTCCATTATAATGTTCTAAAACTGATATTTTTTTCTGCACAAATCTTCCATTCAAATCTCATTTGACTACTTAAAAAATTTAAATGTTGTCTGAAATAAACAACTCTGGCTCAAGTGTAGCTCCTTGTGGACTCTCATACATGATTTTCATAAAAACTGGTTTTATTTTCTTTTTTTAAGTGTCACTTCCTGACCCAAGGTCCATGAATCACATATTTTCTCACCTATAGTTTCCTTTTTACAATTATCTAAAACTGGTGTATTAATGTTCTAATTTCTATGGACTAAAAAGTCAAATTAGGTTTATTAAATACTGAATACAGAAGGCTTTTATAACATCCGATTAAAATGTTGGCCATATGATTTTCTTCAAACATACCTTGATCCATATGCCCAATTCAAACATCTTATTATAAAGTCCAAAGATTTAAAGTAATTTGGTCATTCATTTGTTTTAATATCACCTTAAATCAAACAATGCTCTTGTGGCTGTTGTTTTAAACTCCACTGAACGTAGTGGGCCAAGATCTACTCTGTTATTCTCATTCAAATCCTGCTCTACTCCTTCAGAGTAAATGGCAGATGTTTTGCAATTGAAGGCGCATCAATACCCATGCGCTTCAGTCTTTAACAAAGGCGCACTCCTTTTGTCAGGCTCTTGTGTCTTTTACTTCAGAGGCCAACAAAAGGCTTCATCCTCCAGCGCAGTTATAAAGTTACTTTCCTGGTTAGTTCATTTCGGCCCTTGAGAAAAACCTAAAGCGATGTTAATGTGCGGCCTCTCCTCCTTTCATGCGCTAACTCCGGCACACACAGAAGAACAGCGGCCTTTGTGTCGCCAATCTAAAATAAGAAGGCTTTAAATAACCCGAGGAGCAGTCTATAGAAATTCATGACGCATTTTTTTTCCTATTTGATGTTTGATCAGAGGTTCCCCAACACGTTCGTCGCGTGGCTTCTCGTGAAATCCTCCCAATATTTCACCTTTTCTCCCAGTCCACCTGTTCATGAACCTGTTCTCGCTCTTTTAATCACGCAAAGTGAGGGTTTGGTCACACCTCAGGTCCAAATGAATAGAAGGCGGTTCATCGATTTGCTCCGCTCTCCATGAGACAAATTATGTTCGCATATTTTAAGAGTATTCTTCTGAAGCATTCAAAACATGTTAAAACTTAAATCCCTATAACACAGTGGCCACAGAAATAAAAAAATGTACTTATTTTTCTTTTTGTTTGTTTTTTTTTAACTTATTGTGAATATCTATTTGTATTGATAGTAGAATATGGTGGCTCCTAACCACTTTGGGCACAAGTTAAAATAAATGGGAAATATTTTCCAATGTTAATGCTTCAAGAAGGGGAAGCTTTATTTCTTATTATATGACAGAAGAATAGATCTACAGAAATCGAGAAATACTTGATTTTCATCTCTCCCATGTTTGAAGCGTTCATCTAATTCTAGTTGGGGTTTTTTGTTGTTTTTTTGTTATTGTTGTTTTTTTTTTTTTTTTTGTTTTTTGTTTTTTTTTTTTGTTTAATGTATTTTTAGCCCCATCTAGATAAATAGCGAATGGTAAAATTAGGCTAAGGTGGTGGAGAAATGTTTGGACTTCTATAAATGCATTCATCTGTTCATCACTGCACAAATGTGATCTTTTATATATACATTTACCTCGAACCCTGAAAAGTGTTCCTTTCGGACATGAAAACCTTTTTGAAGTATCCAACATAGCTATAATTATAAAAACTAAGCAATAAGTGAGAATGAAAATGAAAGTGTCTCTTTGGAATTAAGAAGTGTCCTTTGTCAAATGCTACATTAATTTATCAACTGGCACCTTCATATTAGTCTTATATCTTCTGAGATCTGTTAAAATCTTTGCCTAATTTCAGGCCATTGATGGTCGTTCATTTTCACATCGACAGAGAAACCGTTTATTGCAGTAATTGCATAATTGCCTCACTAATTGTTGTTAACAAGTTTCCCAATAGTCCAATTATTACAGGAGCGCTTTTGGTCTCTCCTCCGGCGGGAATCCATGACAAAGGTCCGATAGGGTTAATGAATGACCTGCGGCTGAAAAGTGAGCCACAGAAGAGGCCCGCTCCCTTTTATAAACATACACCTAACGTATCATTTAATGACACTGGCATTATTGTTCCCATTTAAAGCACACGTTTCTTGCTGCGCTTTTCTTATGGATAGATGATAGTGCAACAGCATGTGGCAGGACTGGTGTGTTTTAGGGCTGCTGCATATGTTGCAGAGCACGCGTTAGAATCCACCTTTTTTGACCTAAAGAGGAAGAGCCAACACTAATTGAAATTATAGCGAATAATCAGAGGTGAAAGCTCCTCAGTGGTGCCGAATATCAAGAGGTGACTGCTGCTGTGTCAGGACTCAACGTCAGCATCGTCTCTCCACGGTGCTGTGCAAGAAAGAAAGACAAAAACAGGCGTGAAACGCAGATAATGTGGCACAAAGCCAAGACAAAAGACCAAAGGAAGACCACTTAGAGGAGA